GAGAGAGAGAGAGAGAGAGAGAGAGAGAGAGAGAGAGAGAGAGAGAGAGAGAGAGAACACGACGTTGCGGAGGCGCGCGGGGACGGCGACGGACTAGCGCGGCAGCAGACGGCGTCGTGAACGACGCGGAGCGGCGGTGGACACGGCGACGGCGCGCATCGGCACTAAAAATTGAACGTGCGTTCAATTCTTTGAACGGTGGGTGTGGCTAGGGGGGGAAGGGGAGGTGGGGCCCCGCACCGCGTTGTCGGCACAGTGCGGGTTTCGAGTCCGTGGGGGCTGCGTGGCCGACACAACAACGGCTGGTCGGGGGCGGCCCGGCGAGGCCTTGTGCAGGGAGGGACGCCGGCGGGAGTTGGACCTTCGAGGGTCAGGCTGAGGGCGGACCGCTTCGGTGAGCCCATCGGCGAGCGGGGACGATGCCGCGAGGTCAGGCTCGGGTGTTCGAGGATGGAGGGGAGGACGAGAATCTGAAGGCGCAGAAGAGATGTTGCGTGTACAAGTACATCCGTGTGGGACAAAGTCTCGGCAAGAGATTCCGCGACAATCGCATGTTGAAGTGCGTTTTCTGCGGGCACGAGTTCTAGGGCAACCAGTTCGTGGCGGCGCGCCATTTCCGCCAGGGCAAGGGATGTCCGGAAGTGACCGACGAGGCACTTGTCGACATCCACTACAACAGTGAGTACAAGATGTCCGACAAGTTCCTACAGCGGATCCAGCAGTTTGAGGAGCTTCACAGTCCGGCGCCTGCGATGGATCCGCGACGGGACGAGGGGGGGGAGGGAGAGATGAGGGGGCGGAGGAGCAGATCGACGTGCACGACGACGTCGAGGAGGTTGCGCGGGCGGGGTCATCAGGGAGGGAGCGAGGGAAGGGCATTGTCAGCGAGCCGGAGGGGCAGCAGGGCCAGTACTTTGTGTCGGCGCACGTGTCGGTTCGTACACGGGCAGGTGCCAATACGGCTGAGGCGGGTCCGTCTGCGGGGAAGAGGAAGGAGAGAGAGGAGGGGGCGCGGCCGACGACATCAGCCGCAACACAGAAGAGGCTGAGGCAGAACACGATCACGGAGTCATTCTCTTCAAAGTGGCAGATGAAGTTCAAGAAGAAGTGGCTGCTGTTTGTGTACAGTCAGCGCCTGGCGTTCAACGTCTTCCGGAGCGAGCCGTGGTTGGACGTCGTCCGACACTTCAGGGATTTGCCGGGGCCAGTGAAGGTGTTGTGGCCTTCAGAGAATGAGATTGCGGACATAGAGACCATTGTCCAGACGGCGGACGATGTGGGAGCTGATCTCGCGGAGGTCAGGGCTCCTTTCTATGTCACGTGGGCCACCATCATGTCAGACGGAAGGAAGTCACGCGATGCTAGACCCATCGTTAACTTCCTTGTCGGCGGGTCGCGTGGGGTGATGCTTGTCCGGACGATGAACAGGGAGGGTGAGCGGGATCGCGCGCCTGATGTGTTGGCGCACTGGATCAAGGTGTTCGATGACTTTCCCCCTAAGTGGGTGAACGCCATCTCCACCGACTCCGCCTCGGCGTACGTCGCCGCGGCGAACATGCTCCAGGGGCCGTAGCAGAGGCCAAAACATCGACGGATCAAATGGCTCCCATGCGCAGTGCATGTCTGCAACAAGATGTTGTCTGACATTGGCTGTTCGGGCCCATGGTCCAAGGACATCATCGTGAGGGGGAGAGCGGTGGTGCGCTTCATTAAGGAGCACGACGCCGCTCTCCACATTTTCCGGGGGGAGAGCAGTCAGATGGGCCTTATTTATCCTTGCGAGACACGTTTCGCATCCGTGTTCGCGATGGTGGAGCGTTTGTTGGCAGTGAGGTCAGCATTGGAGAGGACGGTGTGGCGAGCCGCGACTACGAGACCGCATGTGTGCAGTTGCGCGACTTCCACACACGGAGGGGGACGATTGCTTGGGGGGGGAGAGACGGAGACAGAGATGCACAGAGGTGCATGGGCAACGCGGAGACGTACGAGTCCGGGTGTTGGTGGTCGAGGTACGGGCAGTGCGCCCCGCAGTTGCAGGTTATCGCTCTTCGTGTGATGTACATGTGGACGTGCTCCTCTCCTGCGGAGAGGAATTGGGCCTTCCACGAGGGTGTACAGACGAAGAAGCGTAACCGGCTTGAGTTCGAGAAGGTCGCGAAGTTGGTTGAGATCTCAGCCAACGTTCGCCTTCTCTCTCATCAGCGGGCAGGCCGCGGGTTCGCGCTGCCGTGGACTCTAGATAAGTCATTGTTGGACGTAGAGGGAGGTATCGGGATTCGCCCCCCGTGGAAGGGGACGGACGAGAGCAGGACGCGGGAGGAGTTCGAGGAGCAGAGACGTTTATGGCAGCGAGACCCATGTGGGTCCAAAGCTCCTCCGGGTGATGTGGGTGATGTTTTGGGACTCGAGCCGCCACATTGCACCCGTACCCTCGAGACGACAGTGATTCCGAGGGTGACGAGGACGAGGATGAGCCGGCGGGCCCCGCTGCCGCCACTCCTGCGGCGGATGAGCGTGATGAGTGGAGCGACCCAGAGGACGTCCGTACACGGAGTGGCGTAGATGACCTGTTCGTTCCAGTTGATTTGGAGGAGGAGTCTGGGGGTCGTCATGGGAGCCCTGTAGAGCGTCCGAGGCCTACATCCACTGGCCCACTTCCTGCTGAGCGGGAGAGAGATCCTGGGTCTGCACCTTCGAGGGGGGCAGAGTCGGGAATTGGCCATCGTCCTCTGGGTCGCTCTGGCACGGTATCATCCACCGCTCTTCCCACTTCGACAAAGGAGCTTCATCGACAGCCAGCCGGTGTAGATCGATTGCAGAGATTGGTGAGGGGCCCGAGACAGCGATTGGAGGACAGATTAGAGGGCGGTCCTTCACCGGTGCAGAGGGACGACGGAGATAGACAGGGGTTGGTTGGTGGAGATGGTGGTGCGTTGGCCAGAGGTGGAGGCGGTGCCGAGGTTGCTGTGGCGTTTGAGGGGATACCGATGGGCGGCGGAGGCGGTTTCAGTGAGTTTGGTGACATGGGTATGCCCCCGGGAGAGAGCGTGGGTCTGGACCGAGGAGAGAGCGAGTCCCGTGGGGACATTAGTGTGGGTATGCAGGACTTACTGGGACAGATCAACTTCGCGGACCCGAGTAGTTTCTCCCCTGCCATGCGCGCAGAGGTGATGTTGGGTGCAGAGGGGGATGAGGACCGTACACCCCCTAGAGAGACATCTGAGGAGAGGCCGGATAGGCTTGATAGTCGTCGAGCTGCCCTCATGGCACAGAGGGACCCCGGGACGCAGGAGCTTGCCCATCTTGCGGTCGAGGACCGACGGAGGCAGCTGGCGACATTTACGTCGGCGTCCGTTGACGTGGGGCCAGCTGCCCACACGGATCCTCCGGCAGAGGTTCACGACACCACGCAGCGGGAGGCGGCTTCGACAGAGGTATCGAGTACGGGAGTAGATGTTCAGCAGGGGACGTACGAGAGCGGGTTGGCACCGACAGAGGAGCCACGTTCAGAGTCGGCGCAGCCTCCTGCCGTCCAACTGAGGCCCGAGGAGACATTGTAGGAGGTCGCGGGCGTGCCTCTGCCCGCGGGTTCAGTTGAGGGTGCCGTGCAGATGTCCCCGGGTGTGGAGGACATACAGTCGGGGCAGTCAGCGGGCGTTGATGATATTCGCCCATCGGCACAGGCGGAGGGGATAGCGCCGACCACCGGGGGGGACGGGGCCGTAGTGGGGGCCGTTGGTGTTGGCGGGTCGGGGGTGCCGTCCGCGACCGATCCGATGTCCACGTCTGGCGGGGGGGACCTCGCACAGGTGGACAGGCGTGACGCAGACGGACAGGAGATGCCACAGACTTTGGTGGTTCGCAATGCTGTGGGGCCAGTGGTGCCGCATCAGGCACCGTTTTTGGAGGGTTATAGGCGTCGTGCACATGGCGGGGGCCCGATCGAGGAGCGACGTGTAGGCAGGGGCGCGTGCATACCCCCGGTCCCTACTTTTGCACCGTCACGGACGAGGCCGGAGATTAGGCATGTGGCTACGCCTCGGGGCAGCCTCCCTTTTGGTTTTATGACCGCTGAGGAGTTGGAGGACCACGACAGGAGGGATTTGACGGAGATCGACCAGCGCATTTTGAGGTCAGTCCCGGAGGAGGGGAAGTTGCCTCACGTGCAGGACTTATCTTGGGGGCCAGCCAGCCCCAGCTGGGTGTTCCATCGCAGCGCCATCTGGCGGGGCTGCTGGGGGCTTACCTTCTGGAGGTTCCGTCGCAGCGGCATCTGGCGGGGCCGCAGGGGACTTACCTTCTGGAGGTTCGGTCGCAGCGCCATCTCGAGGCGCCACAGGCCCTTCGTCACCCTTGACCGCAGCTCCGAGGGAGGGCGGCAGTCTCACCCCGAGGTCGGTTGACCATAGACGGGGAGACATTACCCAGCGTGCGCAGGAGTTGCTGGACACCATGTTGTTCGGTCGCACTGATCGACCATGGAGCGAGACGAGACGGGTGACGACGGCGAGTGTCGGTCGTCAGCCAGGTTTGAGAGGGGCTTCCACGGCCATGAAACGTCGAGATGTTGTAGCTTCAGGGTTTGGTGGTAGAGGCGGTGGCGACGGTGGCAGCGGTGGCCAGGGCAACGACACACGTGAGGGTGCAGGTGTTGCCGCAGCGAGCGCAGTGGATCCGCCCTTGATGTACGGTTTGAGAGAGGTGTCGATTATTTTGCATGAGCCTAATGTTGTTACACGACCGAGGCAGGAGAGACACATGCCATTAGATTGACGCTAGGAAGGGGAGACCTCAGGGCAGACGATCTACCTATGGCACGCGAGTCACGCCGACGTGATGACCTAGCAGCCGCAGGTGTAGGCAGTACGTTGAGAGGCAGGAGACTCATTATGGACGACGACCCCGACGAGTGTCCCGTCGCTCCCGAGCCTTCCGCTGGCAGACGCGGCTGCCAGCGTCAGAGAGATCGACTGCGTGGTAGTGGTCGGAGGGGAGGTGGCGGTTCTCATCGGTCCGAGCGAGATCCGCGTGCGCACAACTATCGTTGACGGATCACAGACTTGCGTTTCGTGACATTCTGAGTGTACTTTAGTTTTTTGTTATCCATGACAGACGTAGTGTCTCGTGAGGTTGTATTATAGTCTACTTTCCAGTGGGTGCTTTTCTGCGCAGACGTAGTGTTTCGTGATGTCGTATTGTAGTCTACTTTCGTAGGAGTACATGGCCATTTCGTTCGAGTTTAGTTTTCTGTTATCCATGACAGACGTAGTGTTTCGTGATGTTGTATTATAGTGTACTTTCCAGTAGGCACTTTTCTGCGCAGTTTGCTACTTCGGAGATTATAG